GAGGGTCCCCAACAGAAAACACCAAACGCACATTCACTCAGATCAACTAAATGAAACAACCGAGAGCATGCTTGCGTACCAAAATGCTTTTAAATTTAACATTTTTTATTTTTTTAGAAAGATTGGAAGCCAAAATGACTCAAAGATGATAAATGTTCAGCTTATCAAGGCCATCGTCCTTTTTCTCAAAGCCACATGTAAGATTCAAAGTCTTGCTTTCAGTGAGAAAATGAGCATCATTGTTTGGGTGACATCTTGTATATTTGTACAGTTTTTCTACTCATTGAACACAGCGAAGGAAACCAGAGTCACTCACATTTAGTCAACTGACCATGAGTGAAACACCGAGCTGAAACTTCACTCACAAGTCTGTGAATTTGAGTCGAGCTGTTCACGAAGGAACTCTATTAAGATAAGTGGCAGAATTGTTCAAATTCAGCCACAGTGGAGAGTTTTCCCAAGATCGACATCAATTGGATTTAAATCCAGAATTTGACTTTCTCCCCTTTCAGCCATGAGGCGGACCTGTTTGTGTGCGTTGGAATCTAGTCCTGCTTTATAAACCAAGCATTAATAAGCTTGAGGTAATGAAACGATGGACAGTACATTTCCTGAAAGCAGAACTCATCTTTCCGCGTCGCTCAGGTCTTGAAGCAGCGAAGCAGCTGACCTGATCAGTGATGCCTCCTTTGTTTGGACGTTTTCCTGGGCAGATTCTGTTGGGAACAGATTATGGACCAGATCCACTCAATGTTGACCTGTGACCTCATGCTGAGCTGCACCAACTGACATGTTTGACCATCATTATAATGCTCTTTTCTTAAAATGTGTGTTGATTTTATATGAGATCCAGCGATATGCAAAACGTCCCAAACATTCACTCCATGCAATCTTTTACAAAATTCTTCAGGATCGTCAAAGTTTTTGGCAAATGTAAGGCGGGTTGCTGAGTCATATTTGGTCAGCAGTGATTTTCACCTTGACACTCTCCTGGTGCCCAGTCTCTTTTCATTGTTATGTCTTGAACACTGGCTAACTAACTAAACAAAAGCAAGTGAGGCCTGCAGTGGTTTAGGTGTTTCTTTTTCCAATATGCTTCTCTTGAGTCCCAAAGTCCTAGAAATAGTTTTGTGAGCATTCCCAGGCTAGTAGTTAATTCGTAGTTAATTCATGACTCATCATGAATTCATGACTCATCATGAATTAACTATTGTCATCTTTGTTTGATGTTACAGTTTGTTTAATGATCTGAAATGTTGATAACAAAAACAAGAACAAAGAAATATGTAAAAGGAAGAATTTTTCAAAGTACCGCATATCGTGAAGATTTGGACATCTCTCGTTTTTAGGGTTGTGTGTTTTGCACTGTAAAACAAGCAATGTGTTGCTTTGCTTTGAACATCAAAGATTGATTACTAAAGCTTGGAGGGTAAAAGTCCCTGATAAAGACACCATAAGTCACCTTAACGCATGCTCTGGACCATCCATCCAGAGACACTCCGACACACATGCTGAACCACAGCCCTGTCAGTAAGCGGCAGCAGCTTTAGCCACACGCTCATTTCCTCCTCTGGTCCTCTGTCAGCAGATGGCCTGACGCGTCCCTGGACGAGCTTCTACGTTAGGGTTAGGGTAGAGCAGCAGAGGGGAGGATGGAGAAAAGCTGCGAGGGGCATCCTCATGGGAGGGGTGGAGCGGGTGAGGCGGGTGTAGGGTTGCTAAGTGAGGAAGGAGACATATGTCCACAGTCCTGGCCTCTGCTGTTGGGCGGTCTCTACTGGCTGCTTGGTTTGCTTGGCTCGCTGTCTTTTTCTCACACACATACGGTCAGTTTAACCCGTTTTTGTCACTTAGAGGGGCATCCGTGGCATGTCAATCACAGAGCCAAAACATAAATCTCGGTCTTATGAAGAGCTGGGACCCAGCGTCTTGGACCCAAACTGGGAACTCGGCGCTCATTAGGGGACTGTGGCCGCAAACTGTTGTCAACCCTCGCCTGAGGAAAGCAACACACACAGAAACACACTACAATAAGCCTGGCAGAGAGTTAGCCTCTCCATCTGCACCTAAAAGACCAGAGCGCCCCAACAATGAGGTGACCATGTCACTGCCTGAGCCGAAACAGAGGGATGAAGAGAGAAACAGAGGGAGGGAGGAGAGGCGGGTGAGGCGAAGGGGGGAGGAGGGACACATTAACAAGCTATAATCTCAACTGCCTTATCCATAATGCATTGTGTGGGCCAATTTACATGGTGCTAGTCCCTCTGGGAGAAAGGACATCATCCATCACATTACTTTATTAGCTCCCTCACACTCTCTCACAGATGCACACACACACTTTGTTATCAGTCTCTGCCTCTCCCTCTGTTCGGTGGGCCTGTTTCGTCATGGTAGTTGTTCCAAACTGCTGCTGCCTCTATAAAACAACTCCAGCCCGAGTCGTATTGTGGAGCCGGTGACGGGCCCCTTTCAGCTTATACAGCAACAGTTTATTTAAACACTGTAGCAGGAGCTGATCTCAGCATCAGTCACCCAACCAGATATATGTCCAGGGCTGCACTGAGTCTCCGGTTTTAATAATCACAAGAAACGTCCTAAGCTGGGCCACACCATTGATTGTCTTTCTTATGTTGTTTATTTCAAGTTCTCACAATATTTTTGTGATTGTAAACAGTGTCTCTTTATGGATTTTTACACTTTATGTTCCCTTTTAGCCCAGTACTGCACATTGTTTGGTTTGAACATTTAAAATAGCAGTTTTGATTGTTTGCTTGGTTTCAAACATGAAAAATTGTGCCTTAAGAAAAGGCTGCTATTATAAAAGTGTACAGAAGCAAACGAGTTTACTATTCTGTGTTTGCTGCCTTTTTCAATACCTTTTTTTTTTTTTAAGATATAAGAATTATACCAATGCTTGAAGATTGATTCACATAACAAAAGATATGGCCTCCAACAAGACAGAAACAATCCTAAATAAAAACCAGTGTAACATAAAAATGCCAGCAAGTTGATCAGAAGTTATGGGTGAACTCAGGACTCACCTAAAATATTTTGTTATGCTTATCTAGGATTCATTAAATGTTTTATATTTCATATTTCCTCCGCATCACGCTTTAGATCTAAATCAGCACAGATGTAGGAAATTGTGAACTTTGTTTGCTTTTAGTCGGTTTTTATTCAAACAGCAATTAAAATCAATGCCAAATGAAATGAGGGAGAGCGCCTTTTTGGAATCATATGATGGGCTACGCTGTAAATATTGAAATAAACTAAATTTACGAGGTAGAGGTGCGTGTGCCTGTGTGTGTGTGCCTGTGTGTGTGTGTGTGTGTGTGTGTGTGTGTGTGTGTGTGTGTGTGTGTGTGTAATGCTGCAGATCCATCAGATCCCGCAGTCACCCTGTGAATAAAAAGAGTCCTATAATTACAATCATATAGTATGTGGATCTCCGGGCTCTGGGCGCCATACCGCACCATTAGTATCACAAATAAGTAATAATTTGCTAATGACAACATTATGTTGAGTCAGTTTAGGGCCAATTAAAGTGAGTGATATTTACATATGCCTAATGAATCACGGAGCGTGGCAGTTCGGGCGGCCTCTAATGAATATTCATCCAGGCATTTCTCCCCTGCGCGCAGCAGTTTATAAACTGAATTATGGCTGATTTGCCCTTTTAAAAAATGAACATGGGCGCATCTCCCATAAGGAGGCGGCGAACAATAACGTCTGATTGTAAAAATGTTTTACTGCGAAAGTGCCGGTGAGGAGACGGCGGCGGCGGCGGCGACTGGGGCTGAAGAGGAGAGCAGCTCAGTCTGGGCCTGGTCCACCTTTAGGGGACCAACGAGAATATTTACAGTGGGCATTCAGGGTGGTCCCTCATGAGAGAGAGCCGCTATGGATGTGTAATTGATTTGCTTTGACTGGTTGTTTAGAGCAACCTTTTAGACGCAGCAGCAGTTGGGGGTTTTCCTCCTCCATCCCCTCCTCCTCCTCTTCCTCCTTCACGCCACCGCCGGTGATTTCTCCGGTAATTGCCCCCGCTGCGTGTCGGGGAGCGGGCTGTTGACCTCTCAGGTGCGGGATCAACAGGCGGCATCAGTTTGCATTCACAAGACGGGCTGCACGTTTATCATGCAAATAAGCAGCTCTTTCTATAGCAGGTGTCAGCAGAGCACTCAGTCACTTATTCGCTCTGCGGCTGCGGCGTCTGTAAACTGGACCGCCGGTCATTATCAAATCACAAATAGATAGACGAGCATCTGCAGATTAATGCAGCTGCGTGTCATAAAAACACAAACATCCTCTCAAGATGACCATCCACACGGGAGGCATCGCAATGACTTGGCATATAATCTCATTCAATGATACAAAAAATAATTATTTCTCTTTCTATAGATTTAATCCACATCAAACGGTTATATTTGTTGTTTTGATCACTATAACTTATATTTTATAAAAACCTAAAATACAGCTTTACCAAAAATTAAGAAAACAATAACAATTTAAAAAAAAAAAAAATATAAAAATTTTATTTTGTGGCCTACACCACGATGGGTGGCTGAAAGTAAGCAAGAAAAGGTCGCTACTGAACCTGACGGCCATTTAGTCCTTTATCTAAGCATATTGGTGAAAAGTTAGGTGGAAGGAAAAAGTGAGTTGAGTATTATAATTTGTTACATCAAACAAAACCACCTCTGCTACGCCCTTAACTCAGAAAGTGAGGTACAGTCACAGGATCACATCAGCTTGCTTGTGTAGAGATTTATGTACAGCAATGTCGTTTGGTTTGAGTGACCTACCAGCAGCAAAATTAAAAAACATGAAAAACAAGTAAAACGTAATCATTTTAATTCAATGTGTCCTTAGCTACTAACCGGATTGTAGCACTGAGTTTCTCTACAATGATTGTTTTGAAAAGAAAAAAAAAGTATGTTTTAGACTTCCAACAGAGTTTTACATCAATGCTGTCCAACACTTCCTGTCATTCTTCCAGCTTTATTTTTTTGAAAATTCACAGCTGGGGAGAAATCTCACATGTTTCACTTGTGATCTGTAAAAATGTGAAGTCAGAAGTGGCTTCTACTGTTATATCAACAGTACGTAAATTAGTTGGAAATTACAATCAATTTCAAATATCATTTGAATTTAACTAAATTGAAATTAATATCCTATTTTTTGACATTATTTAAATTTTTGGAGATGCAGGTATAAATAAATTACATATATGTTTCTGAATGGAGACGCATATAAAAGTGACATTTCTATACCTGTGATGCAAAGCAATTATTTCAGACATCCCAGAAATTACATAACTTGCATAACTGTCCACAATATTGCATTGCAATTTTATCCATTTTAAAATTTAAAATGCAATATTGGTGATTGAAGTTGAAAAAAATTAAATTTGGACAGCAAATTATTATTATAAAGATAATTTATTTGTTGCTTATGAAATTAAATAGACTCTGATGACGGACTGTTAATACGTTTCCATAGCAACACAACAAATAAATATGCAAAACCATTTATAATCGATAGCAACTCATGTTACATTTCAGGTTTATATTAACTGTATACAAGAAAAACATTTACGCTCTCAGTCGTCTGTTCTTCATCGTCGCTGTAATTTACTCAAACATATCTGCTGCCACCTTGTGGCCCACACTCTGAAGTACATCTGACTCACTTCACTGTAAACAAACCTCGAACCTCTGATGAGAAAGAAGGAAGCAGAGGTCAGGATTAAAACATAAAAGATGAACTGAGAGATGTTTATGCTGCAACAAAATATCCCGACTGCCCTCTTTGGTTTGGACTTCTCCTTTTGTTTCTCTGCAAAGGGTGCTAAACCCAGATGTTGATCAAGTGCAGAACCATGATGCTGCCAGCTATTGTCAAGGGGCTCAAACAAACAGGAAGCTGCATCTGTGCAGCACTTTGTACTGAAACCTCACAAACACAAATGTTGAAAGATCAGATCAGTATATAAACAGCAGCTGGAAACAAAGGACACATGGTGTGCCGAGCTCTGAGTGCTTTCCATTGTTTGCATTGTGAGCATGCTTTAGTGGTCTGTGAAAAGTTTAAGGCTTTGGTAACAAAGCAAGAAGAAATAACACAACCATGTGACCCAATTGTTGGCACCCTTGTACAAATGTTTGACAACCCTTAACACGTGTTTATCTTTGGTTACAGTTGAAAAACCTCACTCAAGAAAAAAAAATAGATTCTGTCAGGTTCTTATTTCTGTTTGAGTCTGAGTTCACCCTGTGCCAATTCTCTTCAGCTCACTCAGCCTGTTTTCTTTGTGTAGTTAGGTGGCCATAAAAGAAACTCGATCTGGTTTGTAATTCACAATTAAGCGGGGATTTTTTTCTCTTTACATATCCTGGTGTTTGAAAGAGTTTGCGATATCATGTTCCCTAAAACGTTTTCCATGTCCTTTAGAAGAGACCATGTCTGAAGCATTACAGATCCTCCACCGTACCCAACAATGAGCTTGAGGTGCCTTTCCACATCTTAACGCTTGATTTCACACCAAAAACATGTGGGGTGTTTATCACTGAAATGCTACACACACAGATCAAGTTAATGTTCCTGTAGCTTCTAGCTACGTTCAAACATCAATTGTGATAAGAGGACAGAACAAGATTCCTTATGGTTTTTTTTCCCCCTGCAAATAAATATTATCTGATGGTTAATATGGAGACTTGGTGACCCAAAGATGCCTCTCTGTGATGGAGTAGTCCTATCAAAAGATTTTCAAAACAAAAGTTATAGCTCCTTTTCCACAGAAACAGAAAGGGTTGGGCTGTCAATTAAGACAATTATATTAACTTTAAAAACAAGAAGAACAATGTTTTGTCATTTTCTAAATTTCTTGGCGTGGAAAAGACTTGTATCTACCAAACCAGGTAACTATTTTATAACAAACTAGGATCTAGAGGGTTTGTTGTTCGAACTTATTTGAATGTAAACTTTAAGAATGGTGATGTACTGTGTTATCTTACACCAGATGCCTGTAGCGAGCCTAAAAAGACAGAGTAATATGTAAACCAACAACCTTTTTATATCACATTTCATTGACCCACGGACCATATTCAAAGTGTAGGTCCAAATCGAGGCCTGTGTTATGCTATCGGTGGTTCGTAGTAAGTCTTTTGTCAGTACACAAAGCTGACATAGATGACCGACGCCTCTGGTAATTTTGCCAGGTGAAGGTCAGGGAAAGGCAGCGTCCCATCACTGTCTATGTGTGTCAGCACCGTGTACGTTTTGATCTCGGCTCCCCAGTCCAGCACGGAGCTATGGATGATTCCCAGTCGGGCCTGTTCGTGGTGCGCCGCTCCGCGCTCCCGGCCCAGGAAGATGTCCTGGATCTGAGGCGAGGACGCTCTGAAAGAGCTTCTCATTGCCTCAGCAACGAGGTCCATGTTGGTGTCCCTGTCCTTGTTGGACTTGTTTGAGTCAAATGCAAAGCTGTTGTCTCTGTCTTGGTTGGTGTTTGTTCTCTTGGCGCAGTTGGCGTCGGTGCAGGGGTGAAACGGCCTCTCGGGCACGTTCACCACCGTCAGCCTCTCCAAGCGCTGCACCGCAAAGTAACCCTCCTGAGAGAACGAGGCCGTCCCCCGGGGCTCCCCGGGAGGCCCGCAGTGGATGAGCGTGAGGTGCCTCACTTCCGAGTTGTTCAGCAGACGCATCACGGTGGCAGGAGACGAGAACCACACAGTCAAGTGTTTCCCCTGGAAAGCGGGAGTGGAGTGAGACAGGGGCCTGTGGGCGCTGGACAGCTGGAAGTTCTTACATCTGCAGTCGGAAACTGAAGTCGTGCTGCACGGCTGAGGGTCCTGGCTCCTGGAGTAGTAGATGAAGTTGCCGTGCGTGATGTAAGCCAAACGCAGGTCGGCCATCAGCGCACAGAGCAGCAGGTGGAGGAGAGGAGCGGGAGGGCTGGAGGGAGCCATCACGGCAGGACGAGAGTCTCAGGGAGAGGGCTGACCCATGGGCCGCGATGGCCTGTCTGGACCTGAGCCAGCAGAAAAAAATAGAAATGGAATAAAACCTCTGGCTTTAGTTGCTTTTTAAAAAAATAATCTGGTACAATTTCACAGATAAGCAGCCGGAGTTCCCACAGTGATGCATTCAGATCATTTCTTCTGTTCGTCAAAGTTACCATAAAACAACATTTGTTACTCAAAATTCCTGCTGTTCGACGTTTGAATGCCTTTCAGCAGGTATTTGATTAACTGTGTTCTTTGGTTTCAGGTTTAGTGAGAATTATTTTTTCATTGATGCCGTTTGTCTCCATCTTTGTTGCTATCCGAATTCCTTCCTGTCCTTTGACCCTCAACTGCACCAAACAGATGGTCGACCTCCACCTCAATCAAGCTTGGATGTTTTTAATAACTGCTGGTCATTTCTAAACAACCTCAGGGTGACGTCTCAGATACAGTTGTTTAGGTTTACTTCTGTGCATATTTATGGGGTGGGAAGAAGGGGGCAGGGATTTTTTTCAGGGGTGTCAGCATATGCCAGTATCTATCTATCTATCTATCTATCTATCTATCTATCTATCTATCTATCTATCTATCTATCTATCTATCTATCTATCTATCTAAATTGATTTTATTTCAGATTTACAATACGCTATTTCCATAATTCCATTTTGTTTTAGACTCTCTAGCTAAATGATCTGCCATGTCATGGACATTAATGATGATAATGAATCTGAACATATAAGAACATTTTCAATTTTATTTTGTTCTATCCACTGTAAGGCCATCAGAATTGCTAACATTTCCACTGTATAAACAGATAAATAATCAGCTGTTCTTTGCTTCTTAAATATATCTAGTTCAGGAATAACATAAGCAAATCCTGTTTTATTTGAAACCAAATCTTTTGAGCCATCTGTATATATAACTGTAAAGGATTTATACATATTCTTAATTCTGTTATTTACAAAAATTTCCCAGTTATTATCTTTACTAACTGGCATTTCTTTATAAACTTCTAGATCTACATTCACATATGGAAATAACCAATAAGGTGTAATTGGATAAGGCACCGCAGCACAGTATGTCTTTCCCTGTATACCTATTTCCTTAATGCATTTATCTGCTGCCCAGGCAAAACAGTCTATTTTAGCTTTTCCACTCTCCCAGCAAGGTCTCAGTATTCTTACTGCTGTATTATTCTCCTCCTTATGTCCCTGCAAACTTACCCAATAATTCAGCATAATTTGCCTTTGTCTTAAATATAAAGGAATCTCCCCCATTTCTACCTGCACTGCCAAAGATGGAGATGTCTTCAAAGCTCCACAACATAATCTCAAAGCTTGATTCTGAATAACTTCTAATTTATTTTTTTGCAGCTTGCCTGCAAACTACACTTCCCGCTACTTAGCAGTGGATGTCAGGTTACATTGTGTTGCATTCAATGTTGTCGGAAAAAAAGAGTTTCATGCGCTTAACGTCCGATTTGCCGTAACAATTTATTGAATTCATAGTCGCCAGCTGGGGTGGCAGCAGGGATGGCAAGGCTCTCGTTTGGGGTGGCAACTGCCCCAAAGTAGATCCGCCCCCTGCTTCTGTGCAAAGTGACTTAAATTTGCATTTTCAGGATTTTTGAGTATATCTCTCTAGGTTTTCTGAAGGTTTTTCAAAATATTTTTTGAGGTTTTCACTGCTGCTTTGTTCCTCCTCTGGTTCAGTCTTTGTTTTTCTAAAGGTCTAAAAAAGCCAATCTACAGCAGATGAATAGAATCCAAAAGGCATGCCTTTAAAAAATGTAAGTAAAAAAAAAAAAAATGTTGTGGTGCAGGCAGACCTCAGCAATACGTGTCAAACCGGTGTCTGACGTTTCCACTTATGTTGGAAAAACACAGTTTTAGCGTCGTGTTTCCATCAAATAAGAAACGCAATTAAAATCACGTGAATAAGTTTGTTCACACGATAAATGACTGAAAAACATTCTGCGCCATCATCCTGAAACTTACTCCTGTTGTTTTCTTCTTCTTTGTGGTTTGTGCTAGTGGCAACGTCAGGTTTTTGATCATGTTACTCGTATGATGTAAAAAAAAAATAATAAAAAGTTTCCATTGCAGTTCTGCAAAATAAACGAGTTTTGACAAGGCCAAAAACCACCTCATCCCGGCACCAAAATATTTTATTTAAAAAACTTGAGATTTTTTCAAAATTGCCGTGTTTCCATTAAGCAAATTTACTATCGAAATGTCAAATTGCACAATTGTGCAGACAATGGCAACACGGTTACTGAGAATATTCTCAAGCTTATGCTGCATATTCTGAGTTTTTAAAGGAAAAATCCTCAGTAGTTGGACTTTATTTCATGTATTTTGCAGCAGCAGTCGATGAAAAGTGGTCAGACTTTAATAACCACTGGTCATTTCTTAGTCATTTCTGATCATTACTAACCAGTGGTGTGAATTAAAGGCTTTAATTCACTTCACCTTTGCTGAGACTTGCAGTCTTGACCTTTCTGAGGGAGGAAAATGTGCATGTGTGTGACTGAACAATCAGACTGATCGCTCTGATTGTCAGGCCAGCAGATTAAAGCGTGAAAAAGTGACTGAATTAAAGTTGCAGCTTGTGTGAAAGCTGTGACGTTGCACTCTGATCCCTGACCAGCAAAGAACCGTTCATGAACGGGAGAGAGGGGGAACACTAAGGCCCTCAATAAAGTACTAATGAGGCTAAATTAGCCTAAGTCATCTATTAGAGTGATGAACCTACCAAGGAAAATACCAAAACATAGAGCAGAAAACCACTGAAGGAATTTAAAGTACACACATTTTTCTCAAGCCACCCACAGATATAAATACAAAGGTCCACTTAGTGTCAGGCTGTATGCTGTAAAAATGAGAGGCGGTGTGACTGGACATGATTTAGACAGGATTTATGGTTGTCAGCCTGGTTGGTTTGAGAATAAGATTGGTTTTTTTGTTTGTTTCTTTTTGCTCTCTGCCAAAAGAGAAAAAGCGTCCCAAATACATTTATTCACATTTATTCTGGATTTATGGTGTTGTTTTACAGCTGAAACCTTTAGCTCCCCTGGAGACGCTGACCCAAAACCCTGCTGTGGCGCCGACAGGATAATTATGACACCATTAGTCTGAGCAGCCGGAGCTCTCTGATGGCTGTTGGTCGGGATGTGTGGTTTCGTCAGAGAATTTATAAATTATTTATTTCTTATTAGTTTCTCAACTTTTAAGTGTTTTTTTTTTTTTTTTTTACCAAACTACATATCAGACTTATTCTAGGTTTTCTATCTCCGATGGCTTGATCTACCCACTCTTGAACAAAGCCTGGATTTGAGCATCTCTTCCAAGTTGCTCAGTCTATTAGTGGTGCTAATTCTGTTAGCGCTATAGACGCTATTAAGCCTACCAAGGATCATTCTGCTTTCAGTAGACTGTTTCACATTATGGTGAAACATTCAGAACAGGCTTTTTATTTGCATCCTAATTTACTATATAATGCTAAATTAAAACATGTGGCAGCTAATTAATTATGAATATTTGAGTCGCTGAGAACAGAAACGTTCTCTCTCTGAATTGGCAGTCCCATGTTTCTCTGGTTCCTGAATTATTCCTGACATCTCTTGGTTTGGGTCTCCCTTCACCAAATGACCATCCTGTGGCTGCAAAAAAGAAAAAAATTGCATTGAACTTATATGTGTTTCTGTATAGATGTAGCAATGTAGTTTCTCCTGCAAACACTCAAAACATTTTAGTTTTAGAGATTTGGTTGTTTTATCTAAACTAAACTAAATGCAGTTGGTTAGCCACTTAGGTACATTTCTAAGGAGGGCAATTAGTCAGCTTTTTATACAGCCAAAGAATATTTGTTTCAGGTTGATTCTTTTTATGCATTACAGATGATATATGCACAGAAATCTGCATTTCAACTAAATTCTTTTTTTCACAAAAATTGATTTTAGCGTTTTTAGAGAGGTTTTTCCCTCCTCCTATGAATCTGATCAATCTGTTGGAGAATCTGTTGTTTCTCCAACCGGGTCGTTTTTATCATTACTAAACATCAGAGATATTTGTCCCCGAGCAGAGACATCATTGAGTGAACTTGATTTTTAGTTAATGTCCATCAGACCGTTTGACTGAAATGAAAATGGCTTTACATAAAATATTTTTTTTTTAAAACTAACTTTCTGTCTGTGCTGCTGTCTTGAAAATACCTGAGGTTAAGCAAACTTTGCAGAGAAATGCAAAGTATCTTAACGCTCTCACCACAATCTGCCACATTCCAGGAGTAACTTGATGTAATTTTATCTTTTGGCTCCGCAGCTTTAATTTAAAACAACTTTTCTCGAAACCCAACGTGGAAACGGTGCGACCTACACTCGTTCCTTCACACAGACACGCCTTTAATTCACTTCACCTTTGCTGAGACTTGCAGTCTTGACCTTTCTCAGGAAAGAAAGAAACCATGCTTGTGTGTGTGTGTGTGTGACTGAACTTATTTATATCTAAACAAAGAGGTCAGCGTACGTTCGTAACCCCGTTCAGGTAGAAGTTTTACTCCTTGACATCAAAGGTTGTTCTCATGAGTTTTCTACATCCATGGAGTGTTTTCATGCCACAGAACGAAGGAAGAGGATGTTGCTGAACGGACAGCTGGTTTGGATCAGGATTTGTTAGATTTAGAAAAGGTCTGCGACGGGTGTGTTCCTCCTGGACTGCAGCAACATGGGATATATTGTTTGGCCCGGCGAGCCCTCATTGAATTTCACATACAAAAACACGCACAGTCGGAAAATTATATGTGGGTGAATTGCTCTGAGATTCCAGGGAAAACACTGTCTTGAAATCTTGGCCGTTTTAAAGGTCTCGTCTGGTTTGGCAGTGATATCAGAGCAGGAACACGACTCTGGGTATTATTTTGAACACCGGACGGAGCTGACCGCTGCATTCCTCCACTGCCCCGGGGTTAGAATAAGAAAAGGAGGAGAAGTAGCATTTATGGCGTTTTCTGCATTCAACACTGGCACACAATTAACATTTCCTCGAGGTAGTTACTGCAAGCACCGGCTAAAGTAGAGCGAGGAAAAACTGGACAGCGATGAGTTTCATGAAAACACTCTAGGAAAGTTTGTGAGCTTCGCTTTAGTAATTTCATCCTTTCGAACTTCACAATTAAGCGCCACATTGCTTTTTAAGTATATATTTTAAGTTAAAAAGTGCACAGTTAGTGAAAACTTTCTCAGGTGAAATGCGTCACCAGCTGACGTGAAAAAAACAAAACAGACAACTCTGTCAAGTCAAAGTTTTCTGTGGTTCAAAAATGATTCAAGTCTAACCTCAATCGTGCTTACACCATGTCATTATTTCTTAACCGAGGTTAACACCAAACATGTAAACAGTTCCTAAAACCAATAACTCTAATAAATTCATAGCAATGTACAAAATATCTAAAC